TCTTTGACAGCCACGGTGACACTATGATGGCTGATGACGGAACCAATTACTGGGGATGGTATAGTGGCGGCGAGAGATTAGGGAGGCATCGCCCTTGAATGGGGTTTAGTTTTGTTTTGGGATTGTAGTTTATTTATTAGTTTAATAATTTATATAAAAAAAAATTTATTTAAAAAATTAATGAAGAGCATAAAAGTCTTTATTATAAATTTTAAGGCCTATTTTGGTATAAATAATTGAAGTTCCAAATGGGATACTTCTCTTGTTTAGGAAACAACTTCTCACATTAACTTTTCAAGATTTTTAATGCCAGTGAAAAATTAGAAATTTATCAAATTACCTTTATAAAAATGGGTGGAGTATTAGGTGAGGTGTAAAAAGTAAAAAATAAGGATAGTTGTGATATTTCAAATGTTAAAAAGATAATAAAAAAATTTCTTAGACTAAAAAACATCGGACCCCAAAAAACATTTGGAAAGATCTTTTTCCGGCGGTAAAAGTATATACGAAGTACAAAATGTAAGAGCACTGGAAATGGTCCTAGCGCCCGGGGCATTTTTGCTTGTTTTAACGCCAAATGTTTAACGGAGAAAGAAGAGAAAATGTGTGGGTTCCTCCACTAAAAAAAATTACATTAATGCCATAAGACTAAGAAAATAAATTTTTTACTCTTTATATTCACTCTCTTTTTAAAAAATAAAACATACACAAACACAATTTGTTTACTCTATATTTTGTTGTTTAAATTTTTTTTAGTAATGTAATTTTTTGTTGTTTTTTAAATTTAATGTACTTTTTTTATTGAATGTATATTTTTATTTAATTTAATGAACTATTGGTTTACAATATGTGATTACAACCTAGAAGAGAAGATGCCTACGTACGAAGAATTCGATGAAGAAAAGAAACGAAGAAACCGCCAAGAAATCTGAAGCTGAGAGATTCACAATACACTAATGACGGATTTGGTTGAAGATATTTTTAGTCGCTCAAATAATCAGTAATTTTTCATAAGGTAAAATAATTTTTATTTTTTTATTTTTGTTGTTATTATTCAAATCTTATTTTATTAATGTACTTTTTATTGATTGTATTTTTTATTTAATAAATTATTGTCCTTTAAATTCAATTAAATAATGAAATGTTATTAATTTAATTTTAGAAGATGTGTACTTAAAAAAGTAAAAAATATAGGTTTGAAGCCCCAGTTTGAAACCTCGAGCCTTGAAACCCATTTCAAGTGAAATTTGAGTGTAAGTTAAAGCTGATATGACAGAGAGAGAATGTTTGAATCCCCGGGGCTTCAAGACCATTACCAGTGCTTTAAAGCATCTTTAGTCGTCCTAGTTAAGTGTTTACTTCTTTTATTTTAATGCATTTTTATATTTCAAAAACAAACACATACTCCATCAGACTAAGAAGTTAACTTTAGGACGGAAGGAGAAAAGAGCTTCATCATTTTTTAAAATATAAATTGGATATATAAGTAAGTATTATGCTTACAACAAAAAAAATTATAACAATTCTTACACCAATGCACTCAGGGCATCCTATTATGCTTCGTTTGTAAAATTAATTGTTCCCATCCCACTAATCTCCGGTAAATCCCTCTCCCCAGCGTGTCTCGTCTCTAGCTAGTTCCCCATCGCACCCCCTCTAGTTGCACCACTTTTCATTTTGTTAACTTTGTGGTTAGTTTTTTGACCAATTCAAGATGAAAGGTGGTGCAATTGGAGGTGGTGCATATGTGCATTAGGGACGGGACAGGCTGCAGGGTTTATTGAGGGGTTAGGGGTAGCAAGAAAAGAAAACTTCCTGAATAGGATTAAAAAGGTATGAAAATACCAAAATAAGAGTCTTGAGTCTCTTAAGGCCGAAGTAGGAGTATAATGGTAGTGTGGTGTAAGAGTATGTGTTGGCAGTGTGATAAGAAAGTGATGAAAATATAATTTATCAGTGTAATCAGTCCACCGCCAGTAATCCGCGGCGGCACTCTAATAGCCGACGGGCAACGACAACAGATGACAGTGTGGTGGTAATAGTATGGCAGTTACAATGTGATGAGTGCGACAATGTAACAATGACAGTGTGAACTCGTATTTTGGTCTTAAAAAAACTTTGACACTTATTTTAGTATTTTTATACGCCGGTAGTTATTTATTTCTATCTAGGAGTTCTTCTAGGAACAATCAATTTTATGAATGGAACACCCCGTAAGTGTCACGATTGCATTATTGTCAGAATTATTATAACTTTTTATTATAAGAATAAAGGCCCTCTATATTCATCACAATTTATATCCAGGTTGATAGTAGTAAACTATTCCGGTGGGGGTGGGGGCACTGTGCAGTTGATATAAAAACTTTGTGAGTTTGTGTACAGCTAGCATAATTGTAGGCCCTTCATCCACAAAGCAGATTCACATTGTTTTTTTATGTTCCAAAATAAAGTTTATGTTATGTACAAATGTCTTTTGATGTTCTCCATGTCTAAGTTAGATTTTTGATTTTCCCCTTTGTAAGCCTATATATAGAGGCTCCATATGTTGAAATGAGACATCCATATCTTTAGTCTCTCATTGCATTCTTTCTCTTTCACTCTCCATTGCACTTTGATCTTCCATTTGTGTTCTTATCAAGGTATATCTCTATCATCTTGTTCTTGATAATGTTTCTATTATCTTTATTCTTAACACGTTATCAGCATGATACTCTAAAAATTTACTCCTCGTCATATCTTGTCCTTGTTCATATTCATGTTATTGATATATACATATACATATACATATACACTTATTTATTTTAGTTTTTTTAGTGTACTTGTAGATATATTGAATCTAAAGCTCCTAAATATATTAGAGAATTGGCATGTGAAGCCTACATTATGTGTTAAAGTTGAAGGTTATATGATAAAACTCAACTTAAAGTTCGAGTATATATTATGTCGGAAAAAAAATTTCATTTCTTTGGTTTTTTTCTCTTTTGGCTAGTGAACTTGAAGTTCATATTCTGATTTCATATGCTCGAAGCATTAATATGAAAACTCAAACCTGAAGATTTGAGTATGCCACATGAATATATAGGTGACATTATTATTTACTATGCAACAAAGAAATAATAATAATAATGTTAATATTGTAGACTTATTATTTGTGATTATGTAATGTGCTCTAATTTATCATTATGTCCATAGTTTTGCTCTAATTGTAACCTCCGTTATAATAATTATAATAATAATAATGCATAATAAATAATAATAATAATTGAGACCCTTCAAGTACCTAAGCCGTTTTTTTAATAAAAACCCTATTATTCAATCAATACACATTAATTTATTTATTTTTCACAATAATAAAAAAGAGTTAACATGTTCATCAAAACACAATATATGGGTATATGAGATACTACCTAAGGTCTTATAATATTTAATTATCACCTGAAGTGGCTGATTTTTAGTATAAAAAAATCTCATTAAAAAAAGACATTTTGATATTTCAAGACCTTTGTTCTAATCTATATATGATTCCTCATCGATGTTCCTGAAGAATGACGTAGTTAATATATTATAATCAAAGGAGTGATTATACATATTATATTTTTTTAGATGTAAGAGTTTTTTTCTCTTATGATAAAAGAAGTTAGTGTGGATATAATTTTCTTTTTATACAAAACTGATAGATAGATCTAGAAGTGCATTGCATAATAAGAGCTGCATAATAGAAGTAATAAAGGTCTCATAAATATTGAATATTTTGAGAGAATAGTTATTGTCCTTCATTGACGAATATTCTATTGGGTATAAACAATTAAATCCTTATTGTTTATGGTGTCTCTATTAATGTTTAAGATACTAGTGGAAATGAATATTACATGACACTTGATCGAGATTTGTTTTCACGGAAACCAGAAGTTTACTGAATCAATTTTTATTCTAAACATAACCAATTAAATTATCACGTTTTAGTTTGTGGTGTGAAGAAAAAATCATTAAGAACTCAAGTGAGTACTATTTGAAGAACAAGTTTCTGTTATTATAAGGACCAGAAGATCCTTTAGTCTTGTTCTCATTAGAAGATTATTATGAGATTATTACTAATGAAACTTGAGATTCATTTCATACATATTAAGAAATTGTTCAAGGATAATTGATTGGGCCCATCAACTATTCGTGATCACAATTTAAATGTTATATATGATGCATCATTATATTTGTTATATTTGTTGACAATTAACTCGTAACCCGAAGTTTATGATATTTGTCCTATGGACATAATTTTTAGGTTATGTTGAACACCATTAGTCACATAAGAGCCTGTAGTTCTAGTTAATATGCAAAATGCATTGAATTAGTGGCTATACTTTTGATTATGAGAACAAAGCATTTTATACTGGTTTTTGAATCTTCATTTATGTGGTAATTATTTGAAGCAGATGCTTAGTGGGCATAAATTAAAAGAAATTATCAAGGTACCACAATGGTAGGTAGACACTGAGGGAAGGTTTTTTGAAGAAGTTGAATGGAAGATAAATTCCATGACATATGCTAGATTATATATATTCTTCAATTAAAGAAGATGTGAACATGAAGTTCAAGAAAGACGATTGTACTACGATATTGCAAATAAAGTGCTCATTATGAATTTTATGTATCAATTGTAAACACTTTGGTTAGAAGTGAATTCTAGATATTTTCTCAACCATAAAAAAATGGTCTTATTATAAGGAACCTGTAGTTCCAACATATAAGAACCTGAAGTTCTCCTTCGCATGTATTTTATATACACATGTTCATTTTTATTAATCCTTCCCTGTAAATAAAATGTCAAATCTTCAAATTTTTGAGTTTCGTACACTCGATATCTCATGAAGAGAAACAAGTTTGTCCCTTCTCACAATATTTGATTGTTTGATTGTGTGCCTTATATGCCCTCTCCCCCATAATGCATTCAATATAATGTAGAAGACTGTGTATTGACATTGGCTATAACTCCTCGTCTATTGTTAAATGTTTAGAGTTTATGACAAGAGATATATTAACATCAAAGTAAGTTGGTTGTCAAGAATAATGAAATACTAGTATACAAGAAATTATATGAAATGCATCATTGTAAATTTTCGATTCTTGAAGTGGTCAATGTAATTTTGAAGTCTGATTTGCAAAGAAGAGCAAATGAATTACTTGATGCATTCACATATATGAGCAGAGTGACAAAGTTACATATACCAGCATCTTATGCATCGCTCAATTTAAGGTAGTCCCAGAAGTGACTACTGAACATTTTATGTGGGAGAATAATTGGTTTCAAAGATAAGAACCCACGAAAATGAAGATAGTAAAAATGCTATTAGTGAAACCATATACATGATTATGAGTGAAACCCCAAAAAGGTAATTGTCCCAGAAGAAGACTAATACTATTCCAGAAGAAAATGAAACCCAGAAGAGGTAAATGTCCTGGAAGAGACTAATATGATTCTAGAAGAATAAGTTTCCTAAAGAAACATCGGTACCGAAAGAAAATGAGATCTCTATTAATTATGTACGAGACTGTACAATATGGAACCAAAATGAAACACGTGTTAATGATATTCTTGCATATGCTATGGCAATGGATGTAATCAATAAAAGAGATTACATGCCTAAAACTCAAAGAAGAGTACATGTAGATAGTACATAAATTATTTGCCAAATGGAAAAAGACCCTGAAGGTCGAATATAAGTCACTCAATAAATGGAATATTTTCGGACCTGAAGTCTGAACACTCATAAACGTCAAACCAATAGGTTTAAAATGAGTGTCTGTAATAAACAGAAATAAAATGAATGAGATTATGCGATATGAGGAAACATAATTATAAGGGACACTTGAAATCGACATCTGTGTGATAATAATCTCTGAATGATTCAAAATGCCAAAAACAATAAAATTAATACATCGAGGTATGTGTGAAGAGATCGTGGAATGGTCTTGTAGAATATTTACGAGGAGGTAACTGGACCGGGGTATCGGAGGGAGAAGTGGTCTCCCCCGAGGAAGGGGACGGACTGCTTGAGGACACGTCACTGGTCGGGGACGATGAGGGGGTGGCGGACTCGTCACTGCCCGAGGAAGTTGACGGACTGGTAGGAGTAGACTGGGCAGCGACTGGGGTAGGGGTAGGTGACTGGGGCGGTACGACAGGTGGAACAGCCGGAAAGTCTTCGGCGGAAGGGTTGAGAACCGGCGTGGACGACGGTGTAGACTGTGGGACTGAGAATGGGAATTGGGTTTCGTCGAAGACAACATCCCGGGTATGGAAAAACTGATGTGTTTCAAGATTATATACCCGCCACCCTTTTGTACCATAAGGATATCCCACGAACATACATTTGACACTTCGAGGGGAGAATTTATTTGTGGGTTTGGGATTGAGACGAACAAAGCACAAACAACCAAAGACACGAAGATGACTTAAATCTTGAGGCTTTGACGATAAAATCTC